GACTTCTGCTACCATGTAGTACTGATTGTGGATCCACGTAGAATTATATCTTTGACAATGTCAACCTTTTCTTTATCTATCATGATATTGTCTACTGGTCCAGTGGTAAGGATTTTTGTATTCCTGATGTTGTTGAAATGTAATTCAGAAGGCTGCATAGTGGAGTGGACTTGGGGAGAGGGATTGTATAACAATGAAAGAATCTTACTTTTTAAAGAGAAGAACGAACTGGAAGGGAGGAGTGGGCAGGGAGAAAAGTGCAACAATGAATGAATGGAAATCCAAAATATCTGTAAATTTTCATTAAAATTAATAATAAGGAAATGTAATTCATATAGAAAGCTGCAGTCTTTGATCTTCTACATTAAGTGTGCCAAGTATTCTTCTCTTTCTGCAAGTAAGGTTGTGTCACTTGCATAATGAAGGTTATGTATAAGTCTTCTTCCAATCCTAATATCACATTCTTCTTCATATAGTCCAGCTTCTTGAGTGATTTGCTCAGCATACAGATGGAATAAGTATAGAGAAAGAATGTAACCTTGATGCACACTTTTCTTGATTTTAAATCATGCAGTATTCCCTTGCTCTGTCCAGACAACTGCTTCTTGGCCTATATATAGGTTTCGCAGAAACACCATTAAATGTTCTGGGATTCTTTTTCTTCTCCAGTGCCAGTCATTTGTTATGATCCACACAGTCAAATGTCCTTGCATAGTTAAAAAGCCACAAGCAAACATCTCTCTGGTATTCTCTGCTTTCAGCCAAGATGCATCTAATATTTGCAATGTTTGGTACCATAGCCTCTTCTGAACCCAGCTTGAATTTCTGGATGTTCCCTGTCGATAAACTATTACAGACATTTTTTTCCCCTATGGATATCACAGACATTTTTAAACAATCTTCAGCAAAACTTTACAGGCATATGATATTAAGGATATTTTCTGATGATTTCCACACTCTACTGAATCACCTTTTTTTTTAAAAAAAAAAAAAAAGAAGAAGAAGAACAAATAAGGTTCTCTTCCAGTAAGTTGGCCTGGCAGCTATCTTTCAAATTTCTTGGTAGAGGCTAGTGAGCACAGTCAAGGCTGAATTTGTTCAATGAAATGCGTCAGTTGGGGATCTAGAGGGAAGAGAAAAAGACCAGAGAATGGCCAAAATTATTGGGGCAGCTATTGCTGCCAGTTTAGGGCCTGTGCCAGGAAAAGGAAGTCTTACTCATAAACAGTGCCACCCAAAGGTAATAAACGAGGTCAGAATTGCTTCCACTGTGGAAAGCTGGACCACTTCAGGAGACAGATCCTCCCAGAAGAGCCATGGGTGAGCATTAACATTACTGGTAAGTAGGTTCGTTTTCTCCTGGACACAAGAGCCTACTATTTGGTCCTAAAAGCCTTCTGAGGTCCCAACTCTTCTTACTATTTCTTAGTTGTTAGAATTGACGGAAAACCTCATAAGCAGTTCCTTACTTCACCTCTGCCTTGCATGTGGACTTCTGAGTTGTAAAACAACCCAGCTGTAGATGGAATTTGGTCCAGAATTCCAGGACTTAAGAACAATAAATGACATAATTGAGCCTCTACATCTTGTGGTTCCTAACCTTTATACTATAATAGACAAAGTGCTAGTCCATAGGCCTTTTATTGTAAGAACTACCTTCCCTCTATAACTCGATTTGTGCCACTGTTAGAACCTCTACTTGGAATATTATTGCTTTTTAATTTTTGACTCATGTACGTTTAACTTGTTAGTTAAATCTGTGTCTTTTAGGCTGCAACACTTCCATGATACAGCTTCAAGGATATGAACATGTACGGCTAAGCACAAATGATAACAGTGCATCTAAATTCCAAAATCAATCTCTACAATAGTCTATGTGTTTCCTATTGCCAAAGGGGCCCCTTGGAGTAGTGAGAGAAGATCTTCACCCTGAAACCTACAGCGTCACTTTTCAGCAGGAGGTAGCTAAGAGAATATGCCGTCCCCTTTTCCTTAAGAATCAGGGTGAAGTCTCTCTCAGGGAGGAGTGACAGGGAATGGCAAAGGACACACTGACAAAGGAGATTAATCAGAACTGGCTTTGACAAGCACTGTGGCAATTGGACAATTAAAACAGACTTTCAAGGGGGGAAAAAAGAGGAACAAACTGGGGAGGAGGGTAGAGAAAATAGTGCAACAATGAATGAATGGAAACCCAAAATCTCTGTAAATGTTCACTGAAATTAATAAAATAATACAAAAAAAATTAAGAAGAGCAAAACCCATGTACCCCTTGCTACACATGGGTTGTATGTCTTTGTATTTAAAAAATTCTAAATTCTTTTAAATTTCAGTTTGTTTTTTAGAAAAAAAAAAAAAAGAAATGCATCAGTTGGTATTCCATCAATTCTTTTTTTCCCCCACCCTCATCAATTCTTGGGATCTTATTTTTTGTCCATGCTTTAAGTGTAGCTTGAACTTGTTCCTATATTACTATTGATTCTTGACCATACACTACTTCCCAAAATGATTCAGTGTGGACCAATAATTTTTTTGGTATAGTGACTCTGTGTTTTCCATCAACTCTTTTTAAAACTTTTTTTTTTTCTTCCATCATCTTTTGATGCTTCCTTCAACATTCAATACTTTGCTCATAGAATCATTCAGTATTCCAATTCGAGGTTTGAATTTGTTCTTCGGTTCTTTTCAGCCTGTTTGTTGCTGTTCTCTGCACATGTGATACCCTCATCAAAGTTGACTAAGCTCACAGCAAACGTAGAAAATAATATAATTATCTTAATTGCCTACAGGTCTTTGCATTTTATGCTATACCTCACCAGGTTGTTGTCAGATGCCACAGAGTTAGCTCTGAAGCATAATGACTCCATATACAACTGAATGAAACCGTGCCTTATCCTGTGTCAACCTCAGTCTCTGCTATGCTTAAGCTTCATCTGATCATAAGAAACCTGTGATCTAAGGAGAAGCAGCTCCATATTACAGATGAAGAAGCCAAAGGTCAAGAAGTTCCCCTTTACTGGAAGTTTTACATTTAGAACTAGAAACTAGGTCTTCCAACTCTTAAACCAATGCATTTTCTCCTTTTTAAGGTTGATAGAATTAAACAATTGAGCACATTCCAAAAAAATTTAGGGTATATTGCCTCATCAAAGTAGATAATCAGTTGTGACCTCAGTCAGTAAAAGAATCAGCATGTTAACACACCAGGTCATGATGAGTCAGAACTAATTGGCTTCTAAGGTAACTAACAATAATTTGAATACTACTTCTTCTAGACTGATACTTTGGTTTCTAAATTACATATTTTTATTTTAAATTAATTCAATTTCCATTTATTATCTATCTATCATCTATCTATCTACCTACCATTATTACCTCTTTTGGTTTGTTAAGGGAGATCTGGTAGCCTAATTTGTTAAGAATCCATGAGGAACTCCAAGAGAGAAAGAAAAGTAATAGTCAATATTATTTACAGCTTGGAAACTTGATGAAGGACCAGTTCTGATTTAGTTCCAACTCGACAGCAAGGAGTTTGAAGTATATTTTCAATTTTTAATCTCTTAAGGATTGGTTCAGATTTCTTCTGAATCTTGTCTTCTCTTTTCCTGTTTACTAAGTAGCTCTGGGGAAAAAACAGAATCTCATCTTTGTTTAATTTTGCCTCTTACGCATTCTTGATCACCACCAGGGGGCAAAAGTCTACTACTTGGCTTTTCTGTGGTACACTCTTATCTAGGACTGTACAGTACGGGGACCCTTAGTGTCTGATTCTTGATGGAACCTCCCTGCTAATTATTTCAACCACAGGGCACCAGAGAGAGAACAAAGGCTCAGCACAGAGAGTTCTTGTGGCACTTAACTATCCAATGGCCAGCAAGAGCTCATGACAGCTCTGTCAGTTTAAAAGGAGCGATGAGATGCAAGAGTGAGTGCTAGAAAAGAGGATGCGGGCTTCAAAACCTGCAAACTTCAAGGGCGTGTGTTTTCTACAGCTTTGATATATGTGGTGGTATTTACCAGAACCTCCACTCAAACTGAGTTAGCTTTTCCAACTCTTTCTCTTTGCAAATAATAAAATATTGCACGGTGCACTCTCTCCCTCCCCACGTTTTAATCAAATTTTTCCATTTGCAATCCACATTTTTGCTTAAATCTACGAAATAATGAAAGCTGGAGATGAAAGAGAAGAAATTGCAAGGTTGAAATGCTGTTCAACTAAGAGAATTTCTTCACAGCAGGAAACAAGTGGGAAGTAAATAGCAGGTTGGTCCCTTGGAACTCCGTGAACACAGCTTTCAAAACGTCCCAGGCTCCCTCCAGCCTCCCTTCTGCTCAGGAATAATGAATAAGCCTTTAGATAGGGTCTAGGGTAAAAAGGAAGCTTGAGGGTAGCATGAAGCGTTATAGGGCATAAAATGAAAAACCTTTCAAAAAGTCTCAGGGATTCTGACACAGAAGGGTGAAACAGCCCGGCAAGAGCTACAGAGCGCCAAAGAGAGTAAATTCCCGCCACGAGGGTCACTAGTTCAATCCCAACCACGCCCAACGAAAGCATTCCTAACCCCTAGAGTCCTCTTTCCCACCCCTTTCCGCTGGGTTTTCACCTCAGTTTGCTCTTGGCTAAACTGTGAGCCCCACCTCATAAAATGGTTGTCTGTCGAGAGTGGGGGCTCCAACATCACCCTTCAACTCTCCATCGCCCCACTCGACCTCTCGGTCGTCCCACCTCACTCCCCGTCCGCCTCGCCCCGCGCAGGCAAACCGAGCGATCGCAGCTCCGAGGAGGAAAGCAGGGAGGGGGCGGCGGCCAGAGGCGAACACAGCCGGTCGGCTTCCGGCAGCTCAAGGGTTACCGCGAGGCGGCGGCGCGCGCCGAGGGGAGAGGCGGTTGCTGACAGGTGGCGCCTGCGCACTGGGAGCGCTCATTGTGCCCGGCAGCTGCCGAACCGCCCGCCAGCCGCCCGCTCAGCGCGTCAGTCTGCAAGAGTCCGGTGGTGGGTGCGGAGCCTGCGGCCGTTCCCGCGGCCTCCTTCTCCTTCTCCTTTCCCTCACCCCATCCCACACCCTTTTCCCCTCCCCGGCTCCGTCACCTTCCTGTCCCCCACACTCAGACCAAGAATGCCCTGCCCGGAACAACCCAGCAGCGCCTAGATGGCTTTGGTCACGGTCCAGCGGTCGCCTACCCCCAGCACCACCTCCAGCCCCTGTGCCTCGGTGAGTCCTTCACGGCGGCCGCTCTGCTCGTTTCTGTCACTGCGGCTCCGCTTTGCCTCAGCGGGTCCCGCCGAGCGCCACTGCGCACGCGCCGCGCCGCTTCTCAGGCCTTGGCACTCGGCTGCCGCGAACCTCCCACACCCCCCAGCTTAAAGACGAGCTGCAGGAACTACGGGATGTTGATTTTTATCCCCATCACCCTGAACACCTTGCTCTTCACGGTCCTCGCCCTGAACTACTCTACGGCATGCCTTCCTATAGCTTGAGCACTTCCCTTCGGGAATGAGTCATTCTTGCTTTTCACCCTCCCCCCTTCTTTTTACCTTCTCTTGCTCTGCTGCAGGGACAGGACCGTTGAGCTCCTCTCCTCTGTTACCCCGTTAAACCCACTCACATCCCCTGGCCCACACCCATTCATGGACTCGTTCGGTATTTGCACGCTGCACACCCTTTAGGTTCTCGCTGGGTGTGTATCTCCCTTCCCCTTAGACACTTGCTCTGGTTCTTAAGCTCTCTTCTCTTTGGGCTCCATTCGACTACTGAATGGTAGTGACTCCTTGGTTTCTCCCCGCCTGAAAAGGGTGGGCGATGGTCTCAGTTTCTTAGCTCTCTTAGCTTTCCTCTATGAAATCCCAAAGCGTCTGGCATTGCTTGATGACCAGTGCCAATTCATTTCCATCTTACGGACGTTTATGCCTTGCGCGCTCTTTGCTCATGATCCTTCTTGTTCTTGGATCCTGTGTGTATGGCTCCTTACTTCAGACGCCTGTGCTAATAAAGCATACTTCCAGAAGGAAAATACCCAGGAACCAACCTTCTCCTGCAGGGCCTCTCTCTGTTTTTGGCTCCCCACCCCTACCTTCACCACTTTACCCTCCATTCTTTTAGGCTTTCTTTCTCGAAAGAATTCATTTTAAAAATAAAAATATTGCACCAGTGGCGCAAAATGGACTCTTGGGGGCGGGCAGGGGGAAGCATAAACAATATTCAGACGTTTTAGAGAAAAATAGACTAAAAGAAAAGATGAGCAATGGGAAGACCACCTTGAATTTCCTACAGATCTGTATTTTAGCTATATTGGTGGATTTGGTAGTAGAAGTTGGAAAAAGGTATTCAGTAAACACAGTTCTATTTTTTTTTTTAAATCTAGTTACACATTAATATTTGCATGTTAACTGGTTATCCAGAAAATATGTTGGTTTGTGTGATTTCACTATGGTTTCCTGAATGTCAACATTTTGTCGTGTATGGCCATACTCAAACCATAGTGGTTTCTTCCCCCCACCCCGAACTTTGTTTTGCATTTTGTGTGACCAAGTTGGCAGTTATATCCTAATTCTAGAAATGATTGTATTTCAAAGGTTAACTTAGTCTGTGGTATTCCAGAGTAAGCAGAACTGGGATTCTTGGGTAGGTCTTGAGGGAGGCAGATTTCTAGTGACTATACGGAACAATTTTTAAACATTATAGTCGATTGCTTTGCAAAATTGTTAGAGCCCATTGCTGGAAGTATCCAAACCAAAGCTGCAGGATCTTTTGCCTGAATTGTTTCTATGGAGGACTTTCTAGGTTCTTTTCCAACTCTTGGGATTATTGTAATTTGACAATAATTACACTTCAAAGGTCGTAAACTGTTTTGTTTTAATCGAGATTTTAATGAAAGTTTATAGAGAACTTGGATTTCCATTCATTCATTGTTGCATTTTCCTCCTCTCTGCCCACCCCTTCCCCCTGTTCACTTTTCTCTTGGGGGAAAAAAAATTCCTTCCCTGTTACCCAATCTGCCCCCCCCCCCCAGTCCACTTTACTGTGCAGCTCTTATTCTGGACTCTTGTCATGCAAATAAGACCTAATCATATATCCCTTCTAAGCAGCTCTCTCCCTCATCTGTTTCAACGCAGTGCACATTATTTATCCCCACTTTTCTTAGTTTCCCCCAACCCTGATGTCAGTCCTGTTTTATAACAGTGGCACTATGCAGTATTTGTCCTTTTGTGACAGATATTTCACTCAGCATAATAAGCTGTTTTATGGTCCTCTGAAGGCAAGAACCACAGGAATAGAATTTTCTTTTTTTGAAAGTCATTAGCAAAAAAAAACTTAAAAAAAAGTCATTAGCACATAATCAGAACCTTTTCATTTACTATACTTAAATCCTTTGGGAAAGACAATGGTTATAAGGCCAGATTTGGGTTGAAAGAGCTATGAATTCTTAGAATCATGCAAATAAATGAGAAACCAGTATTATGGTAACTTTCTTTTTCCTGAGTCTTCTTGGAAAGAGTTTATGTAATGATCGAGAAGGACATCATGCTTGGGAAGTAGAGGGACAGCGCAGGAGACAAAGAGCCCAGATGAGATGGACTGGCACAGTGACTGGGGTAATGGAGGTAGGTGTGTCAGAGTCAATGAGACTTGGCTCAGGATAAGGCAGGGTTCAGAGCTATTGTACATAGGGTCACTATGAGTCAAAGGTGACTTAATGGTGCATAAGAACAACAATCTCTTGTTGTTATGTGTCATTGAGTCACCTGCAAATATCAAGTTGTCATCATGCTAATTTTCTCAAGATGATTAATAAAGCCATATCTATGTGATATGATTTAATTTGTGAAAACATTGTTACTTAAGAATCTTGGCATATATTAATAGTTACTTTTGGCATGGATTATTGAATTGATCATGTGATAATTTCTCTTGTTAAGCTAAATGACCAATACATCTGTTTGCTATGTTGGGTGCCATGGAGTTGGAACCTACTCATAATAGACCCGCTAGCAAGTTTTCAGAGGCAATAAATGGCATGGGGGAGACTGCCCATCCTTCTCCCGTAGAGCAGTTGATGGATTCAAACCAAGTGCCTTTGGAATTACAGTGCAGCTTCTCCCCACTGTTTGCTATTTTGTTATGTGCCATTGAGTTGAATACAGCTTATAGCGACCTTACAAACAATGGCTGTGAACTTTGACCTGTCTTGTGCCAACCTCACCTGACCCTATTGCCACAGTCACTGTGTCAATCCATATTGTCCAGGTTCTTACTCTTCTGTGCTGACCTTCTACCCTTCCAAGCATGATCGTCCAAGGACTGGTTGCTCCTGGCATTATGCTCATAGTATGAGATACAGAGCTTCAAACCCCCATAGTGGTCATTTATTTCATTTGTGTATGTGTGGTCCTGGGTGCAGAGGGGTCCTGGGGGTTGAGGGTGGGAGACTAGCGTGTGAAGCAATCAGAATTGTTGTAGCCTGCTACTGTTTTCCTTTAGATTGTCTTTCTATTTTGATTTCAATCAGGGCTCTGTTCAGCTGAGTTTTTTCCTGGTCCTTATAAGCCAGTATTTGACTACTTTTTGACCTACTGTTGTATTTTCCTATTACACCTCTTTTCTCCATGAATAAGTTAAATTGTTTGATTTTAAAGAGAAACAGAATGCAAAGAGAACCTTAAAAAGAGCAATTCAAGTTTGTGAGCTAGGAAGGAATAATTTTTTTTTATTATTAAAGAATATTTATGAAAATGAATTTAGA